GAGGATCGTCCACTCTGCCCCTTGGAATAAACAGAGAAAATTACTAAGTGGGGCCATCCCAAATGTGAGGTTTGTACAATGTAAGAACCAAATTGTAAATTATGAAGCACACAAAATAAGCTACCCAAAAAAGGGAAAGAAGAAATTATATATCACATAAACTTCATAGATTGAAAACATATTTAAAATAATTCAGTAACACAAATGGGGAAAGAGAATATCAAAATAATTTTCAAAACACATGAAGTTCTAAAGCGGGCACTGGGGGCAGTGGCTCATTCTGTACTCCCAGCACTTTGCGGGGGCCAAGGCAAGAGGATCACTTGTGGCCAGGAGTTTGAGACCAGCTTGGGCAACAAAGCAAAAGCTGTCTCTACAACAAATAGATGCAAAAAAAATAAGCCAGGCACGGTGGTGTGTGCCTGTAGTATCAGCTGCTGGGGAGGTGGAGGTGAGAGGGTCTCTTGAGACCAGGAATTTGAGGTTGCAGTGAGCTATGACCAGCACTGAACTCAAGCCTGGATGACAGAGATTCTGTCTCAAACACGTATACATACACACACACACACACACACACACACACACAAAACAGGCATGTTTTGTGAAGACTGAAATAGAAATTAAACAACTGAAACTTAAATAAATTTAATATACAATGTATGGTTTAATTATTAAATGAGACCAAATTAATAATAACAGGATTAGTGAACTAGAATACTGAAATGAAGAAATAAAACAACTACAGAAAAACAAAATAACCACAATACAATTATGATTATACATGTACAAAGAATAAAATGAGATGAAATAAAACACATTGGTTTCACTAGCTTACATACAACTAACAAATCACACTAGTAACAAATAGTTATAAATTTCTGAAACTGAATATCAGATGAGAACCCTTGAATGCGAAGTGTATTGTGATTAAAAGTGGCCACCAACAAAAAATACTCAACAGAAATAAAAGTCAAACTGTATAACACCAAAGAAAAGAAAAAAAATGTTAAAGCCATGAGAGAGAAGAGAGAACTAATGAAGGTGAGAGCAAACTCTCCAGAGCCTGTGTTCAGCCAGAAAACAGAGAAATAAGTAAGAGTGCTGGGAGAAGTCACTGTTCAACAAATAATTAGATACTTCACTAACATATTTTGAATAAGTAAGGATGCACTAAATGATTTCCAAAAGTAAAAAAAGGAGAAATCTTATTACCAACATGAGCTTATTAAGAACACACTTCAAAAAGAAAAAAAATTAAAATGAAGTTCAAGGAATTGAAATGCAACAAACTGCAAACATATTGGGCTATCAAATCACAGTGGATGATGAACTAAAGGATCCCTCAAGTCTTTGGCAGCGTCAGTTTCCAAATGATTAACATAAAATAACGGTGTTAAACTCTATACATGTAATGAAATAAAATATCAAATTTTCTGATACTTGAATAATTTAACTGGTGTTAGAATCTCTTTTTCAGATAATTATTTTGAAAGAAAAAATATGTGATACTTCTGTCTCATCATTTGCAGAATATCAATTATCCTTTTTTCAGACCTTATTAGCACCAAAGGGCTCACAGTGGCATAGGCACTGGTCACAAGCTTCTGGACACCCAGGATGGCTAGCTCATATCTTGATACCAGGATCGAGTAGGATGAGAGACTTAAATCCATCTGGTACATGATCACGAAGAAATTCACCAATGGCAAGATGGTCTTGGCGGCCCTTTTTTTCTGGAGAGACTCTTGGGGAGATTGTTTTGTTTTGTTTTGTTTTTGTTTGTTTGTTTTTTGACTTGCTCAATCTCTTGATTTAGTGGCACACATAGAATGAATGAATTAGCTCTTAGTTGTGGTATACTTAGTAAGTCTGATCTTGCTTGGAGAAATAGGATCTTAATATTTCAGTCTCAGAACACTTTAAAAACTAAGCCACAGTTTTTCTTTCAAGGATGTGGAAAGCATTCCTCATTCAAATCTGATTAATGGTTTTATAAAGTATGTACCTCATTTTTATTAGTCATTATCTTCATGCTGGATTCTAATATTCTTTTTGACGGTGGCGTGTTCAATGACAGAAACTTTACAGAGAGAAAATTCCTTCCTTCTCAATTTATAAAGAAACATTTTAAAAGCAACATTTTTGACCTGGTAGGAAGACATTTATATGACATACGCAGCAACCACCTTAAATTGGCAAAAATAACAGAAGAAAAAAATTGTTATTTAATCTTTAAATAATGAGTCTCTATTTGCTACAAATCTACAAATATTTTAAATATATTTCCTTCTACTGCCATAAAAATTAAGATAACCCTCTGTTTAACAGCTTTTGAATATGTTAATTTTATAAGGAAATAAAAAAGATTGACTTGCCTTCTGAATCATTCAGTGATAAACTGAACCCTAATTTCCCTCCCTCAAGAACATAAAAATGATGTAAGGTGTATCAAAGTATGTAACAATATTAACAATATTAAAAATGATTTTTCATATGGTCTTTCACTAAAGTAATCAACGTAAAAAGTATATAAAAATGTGTTTTTGCTTGAAGATTTAGTGAATGTCCAAGGAATCACAGTTTTTGAGCTTTTACATTTAGGGTACTATACTATGTGAAAATACTATAGTGCCTTATATAAAAAAGCACAGTGATAAAATTTCACATGTAAAGTAGCCTAAATATTAATAATAATTACATTCTCTGTAATTGTTTATTATCTAAAACTTCAAAGCCATTCATCTTTTTCAGTGCTTTGAGTGAGCAATCAAAACAATCATGTTTATTCAGGTTTAAAACTTAATTTCTCTGCTTGAAATCTGGAGGCATAGATGGAAGAGACACTTAAGGTAATTTTGTCCAACTTCTTAAGCCCACGTATGTTGAAACAGTCTACAGTGTCTCATTATGTCATCATTGATGCAACTTCTTCACCAGTGGCATCGTGGGAAATATGAAAGTCTTCAAGCATCTCAGTCAGACTAATTCGAGGTGCTCCTTCATCATCATCACTTTCCACAGGGATCGTTGATTCTCTGTAAATGTTGACTTTTTTTTCTAATTGCCTCATCTTCTTCAAGATCTTCAAGAAAATCTTGGTATTGCCTTTCATCATCTGTATCCATGTTCTCTCTCTCGCAAGCTCTTTCAATGTCCAGTTTCTACATCACTGATGTTTGGTTCAGTCTTAGTTCTTCTTGATTAATACCACATCTAGAACTCTATCCGAGTTCATTTTGTTGACATGCTCATCATTTAAATTACAGCTGGCCAAATCAAACTGTAACACCAGGTCTCCAGGATTTAGAAGATGTCCCAAATGAGTACGACACAAATACTGTTTATCTGTATTCATTTCAGATGTCTTCTGTACCCAGACTTCCCTGAGGGTAGGCTTTTTTACATCATTCCAGCATCTGCACCACATTTTATATCTCGGACTATGCTGCATTCCATCACAATAAACTCCTCTAGCTGTCTGAGATGACATAAACTATTGAAAGAGTTACTCCAGAAAGTGCTCCCATCAGTATCTGCAACTTGTAGGGTGTTTGGATCAATGAGGTGAATGGCACTGGTTACTCGAATACACACACAAATCTGGTTCACATTTCGCAGGCTTTGCATCGGTTTTGGAGACAGACAGACATTTTCCTTACATATTGAAACAAGTGTGTGTATGTTTGTGTGTCTGTAGACATACACAAACATGTAAAGTAGACTCAGAATTGCTAGTCCATTTGGGAAGCATTGCTACCCTTTTGGGAAGCAAATTGTTCATCTAGAATACAGTGTTTTTGTATAGTTCTTGAGTCTTACAGTATCCAATTAAAGTACTGTTTTCCAAAATTGCTTAGGTCAGGACCTTCCATTCTCACACATAGAATGGGATATAGTTTATCTTAAAAAAAAAAAAAAAATAGGCTGGGCATAGTGGCTCATGCCTGTAATCCCAGCACTTTGGGAGGCCGAGGCAGGCAGATCGCGAGGTCAGGAGTTCAAGACCAGCCTGGCCAATTTAGTGAAACTCCATCTCTACTGAAAATACAAAAATTAGCCGGGTGTGGTGGCGGGTGCCTGTAGTCCCAGTTACTCGGGAATCTGAGGCAGGAGAATCGCTTGAACCGGGGAGGCAGAGGTTGCCATGAGCTGAGATTGCACCACCGCACTCTAACCTAGGTGACAGAGGGAGAGTCTGTCTCAAAAAAACAAACAAACAAAAAACACCAAAAAATTTAACCATGCTACAACATGCATTAACCTTAAGGACAGTATGTCAAGTAAAATAAACCGATCACAAAACAACAAATTCTAAGTGGTTCAGCTTTTATGAGGTACCTGGCATAGGTAAATGCATGGAGACAGAAAGTACAATAGTGGTTGCCAAGGTCAGGGGAGGGGAAATGGAGATTGTTGTTTACTGGGTGCAGAGTTACACTTTTCCAAACCAAAACATGTTCTGGAGGTGGATGTTTATGATGATCGCACAGTAATGTGAAAAGATTTATTACTTCTAAAATGTACACTTAAAACAGATACAATGGTAAATTTTGTAGTATGTGTGTTTCATCACTATTTTAAAAAGGGAAGTTGTCAGCTTTAGTATAATAATAGGCAAATACTATAAATCTAAAAATAAAAAGTAATTATCATTGTGTAAGAATACACACAGTTCTTAAATAATATTTTAAAAAATATATTACTAACTGATAGGTGATTGATTCAAACACAAATAACATGAGAAAAACAAACTTAAGCATGAGAATATTACATGATACTTGGGAGGGCTTCTGTAAGTATAAAATAAAACATCAAAGTAATTTAGGATAAGATTCATACATTTGAATGTTATTTTTTCTAAAAACTTAAACAGCAACAAAGTCAAAATTAATTAGAGACTATATAATGAATTACAGCGTATTCTGTAAGCAGATAATTTATTTTAATAAAAACTCCAACAAAACAAAACTAACAAAAGTAGGCCAATTATTTGAAATACAAATAATATTGCCTAAAATGCTTCATGAATTTGCATGTCATCCTTTCCCAGGTACCATGCTCATCTTCTCCGTGTCATGCCAATTTTAGTTTATGTGCTGCTGAAGTGAGCACTGGTTCTGGATTTATTAGTTAATTTATTTTTGAGACAGGGCTTCACTGTGTCTTCCAGGCTGGAATACAGTGGCATGATCGTGGCTCACTGCAACCTCTGCTTTCCAGGGCTCAAGCAATCCTCCCGCCTGGGCCTCCCAAAGTGTTGAGATTACAGGCATGAGCCGCTGTGCCCAGCCTGGAATGTTTGTTGTACTAGACACTCCCACTACTTTTTTCTTTAAAAATTACTGGTTTGTTCAGCTCCTTAAAAGGATCTTTGGTGTTTTATACATCAAAATATGTGAGGCCAGGCGTGGTGGCTTAGGCCTGTAATCCCATCCGTTTGGGAGGCCAAGGATCACTCTAGGCCAAGAGTTTGAGACCAGACTGGCTAACATAGTGAAATCACCATCTCTACAGGAAAAAAAAAAAAAAAGCTGGGTGTGGTGGCACAAATCTGTAGTCCTAGCTACTTGGGAGGCTGAGGCAGAACTACTTGAGCCCAAGAGTTTGAGGCTGCAGTGAGCTATGATCATGCCACTGCACTCCAACCGGGATGACAAGGCAAGACTCTGCCTCAAAAATAAATAAATAAAATCAAATAGACAACAGAATCTTCTGAGCTTTTCACCCTTTCCACAGGGTATAGGTGTCTGCAAGAAATAGTGAATGTTACAGGTAGACATTTTTCATTGCAATGCAACTAGGATACCATTTCTAACCATGTTCCTGTGCAGACGTAGAATGAAAAGCCAGTCGACTGGGGCTATAGCAGCAATTCAGGAATCGTGCAGATGGCTCAACTTAAAGGGCCGATATTTTTTTTTTTTTTTCTTTTTTTTTTTTTTTGAGATGGAATCTTGCTCTGTCACTCAGGTTGGAGTGCAGTGGTGTGATCGCGGCTCACTGTCACCTCCATCTTCCAGGTTCAAGCGATCCTTATGCCTCAGCCTCCTAAGTAGCTGGGATTACTGCTGTGTGCCAACATGCCCAGCTAAGTTTTGTATTTTTAGTAGAGATGGGGCTTCACCATATTGGCCAGGCTGGTCTTGAACTCCTGATACCACGTGATTCTCCAACCTCGGCCTCCCAAAGTGCTGGGATCACAGGCATGAGCCACCATGCCTGGCCGATACCCTCCTCTTAAGTCTGGATTAGACCTGCTGGCTTGCTTCTTTTTTGTTTTGTTTTTTTTTTTAATGAGACAAGGTCTTGCTTTGTCCTCCAGGCTGCAGTGCAGTGGTACAATAGTTCACTGTAGCCTCAAACTCCTGAGGTCAAGAGATCCTCTGGCCTCAGCCTCCCGAGTTACTGAGACCACAGGCACATGCCACCACTCCCACCTAATTTTCTGTACAGGCAGGGTCTCACTATGTTGCCTAGGCTGGTCTTGAACTCCTGGCCTCAAGTGATCTTCCCACTTCAGCCTCCCAAAGTGCTGGGATTACAGGTGTGAGCCACTGTGCCAGCAAGAAATAAGAAGGTTTAATTTATTGGTGCGAGCTGTCCGGTTGGCGGTGCAGAGAGCTGCTGATGTGAGTGGGTTTGGGGCCAAGGTGAGAAGGTGTGATCCTTATGAGCTTCTCTGCACCTCCCCATTCTGGAAAAGGGCAGGGTCCCCAGGGTCAGACTCCCTGCCAGCTCTTAGTGGGCCCTGACTCAACACCCTTCTGACTTGTTGTCATTGTGGTTCTTGGCATGTGGCACTAAGCACTATTTTTTTTTTTTTTTTTTTTTTGGTCAAGGTCTCCTTCTGTTGCCCAGGCTGGAGTGCAGTTGTGCAAGCTCAGCTCACTGCAACCTTGACCTTCCAGGCTCAAGCAATCCTTCTGCCTCAGCCTCCAAAGTAGCTGGGATCACAGGTGCCCGCCACCACACCCAGCTAATTTTTGTATTATTATTTTTTTAGAGATAGTGGGTATCCCTATGTTGGCCAGGCAGATCTTGAACTCCTGGGCGATCCTCCCACCTCAGCTCCCAAAGTGCTTAAGTTACAAATGTGAGTCATCACAACCTGGACAGAGTTTTTTTAAAAACCAAATTGAGATTTTATTTCAAAATGTAAACAAGATTTTAAAATGTTTAAATTAGGCTGGGTGCAGTGGCTCATGCCTTTAATCCTAGCACTTTGAGAGGCCAAGGCAGGCGGATTACCTGAGGGCAGGAGTTCGAGACCAGCCTGGCCAACATGGTGAAACCATGTCTCTACTGAAAATACAAAAATTAGCTGGGCATGGTGGCACATGACTGTAATACCAGCTACTTGGAAGGCTGAGGCAGGAGAATCGCTTGAACCCAGGATATTGAGGTTGCAGTGAGCTGAGATTGTGTTACTGCACTCCAGCCTGGATGACAGAGCAGGACTCTGTGTCAGTAAATAGATAAATAAAATATTTAAATTATTTTCTTAGCTGGGCATGGTGGTGTGCACCTGCGGTTCTGGCTACTTGGGAGCCTGAGGTAGGAGGATGGTTTGAGCCTGGGAGATAGAGGCTGCAGTGAGCTACGATCATACCACTACACTTCCGCCTGGGTGACAGAGCAAGACCTTGTCTCAAAAAAAAAAAAAAAAAAAAAAATTATTTTCCTCTCAGTCCCAGGTATTCTAACAAGCCTTGATGGCCCCCATTTTGAGATTATAGCCTGTGGCAAGGGCCTGGCAAACAGGTTGTCTGTGCAGAATTAAGGTTGTTGTGGAGTAACATTTCCTTGGGCTGCATCAGCCTGTGGGTGAAAGTAAAGTCGGGTGCGGTGGCTCTCCCCTGGATTCCTTGATGCTTTTAATATCCTGAGTCCTCTACCCCACTCTGCACGAGCCACATTGACACTCGTGCACCAAGGTACGTGGTGTGGCCCCAGTGCTCACAGGATCGCTTGTGAGAACTGCTCCTTCGGCCCCACCTGTGGCCTCTCCTCTCGGGTAAAGTCTGGTTCCTGATGTTCATGCCACGCTCCTTCTCACCAGGGCGCACACGCATCACTGCCTCCAAAACACCTGATTGAAACCTGTTCCTGGTGGGGCCACCTCACCTCTCCAGGATGGCTTTCTCTGAAGCCAGTTCTTCCATCACAGTGGAAGTAAAGAAAATTATGAAAACTAGCAGGGAACAGTGGTTCACGCCTGTAATCCCAGCACTTTGGGAGGCTGAGGGGGGCAGATCACTCAAGGTCAGGAGTTCCAGACCAGCCTGGCCAACATGGCAAAACCTGATCTCTACTAAAAATACAAAAATTAGCTGGGCATGGTGGTGTGCACCTGTAATCCCAGTTACTCAGGAAACTGAGGCAGGAGAATTGCTTGAACTCAGAGGTGGAGGTTGCAGTGAGCCGAGATCATGTCACTGCACTCCAGCCTGGGCAACAGAGTAAGACTCTTTCTCAAAACAAATAAATAAAATTATGAAAACTCTCTTGAATATATGGGCACCTCCTGAGCAGGAGGTGGTTGAGAGGAGGTCCTGGCAGGTGGGACAGGGTATCCTGGCAGGGCAGGAACTGGGACTTCAGTGTATTGTTTTTGGACCTCAATGGTGCCCTTTGTCACAAGTATCCATCTGCATCCACTGACTTATATGGGGGAACCTGGGGAAAAACCAATGATATGGTTTGTTTCCCAACCAAATCTCATCTTGAATTTGTGGGAGGGACCCAGTAGGAGGTAATTGAATCATGGGAGCGGGTTTTTCCACTGCTGTTCTCTTGGTAGTGAATTAGTGAATAAGTCTCATGAGATCTGATGGTTTTATATAAGGGCAGTTCCCCTGCACACGCTTTCTTGCATGCTGCCATGTAAGATGTGCCTTTGGTCTTCCTTTGTCTTCCGTCACGATTGTGAGGCCTCCCCAGTCATGCTGAACAGAGAGTCCATTAAACCTCTTTCCTTTATAAATTACCTAGTCTCAGGGATGTCTTTATTAGCAGCATGAAAATGGATGAATACAACCAACCTCAATAGCTTAAGTGGGTCCAGCCATCACTCCAGAAGATACAGGATCATAAACCATGGCGGCATCCACACGGTGCTAACTCAGCACATGTGCAGAGTGTATGAGCTGTGGGGCTATGGTGGCCTCCACCTAGATTTTTATAGTAGAGACAGGATTTCACCACATTGGTCAGGCTGGTCTCAAACTCCGGACCTCATGATCCACCTGCCTCTGCCTCCCAAAGTGCTGGGATTATAGGCGTGAGCCACCGTGCCAGGCCAAAAATGCAGATTTATGAGTGTCTCCCAGTGCTCTGAATCTAAATTTCTGAATGTCTAAATCTCTGTATATCTAACTTTTAACAACTTTGCTCTCCATGTCTAATATCATTTTAACCTAGAAAATATGCACTCACCAACCCTTCAATCAATATTATTACCTGAGTTTTCCTGATCATAAAGGTCACTAGAGGGCTTGATAAACATACGCATTCTTGAGCTGGGCGGAGTGGCTCATGCCTGTAATCCCAGCACTTTGAGAGGCTGAGGCAGGTGGATCATGAGGTCAGGAGATTGAGACCATCCTGGCCAACAAGCTGAAACCCCATCTTTACTAAACATACAAGAAAGAAGGAAGGAAGGAAGGAAGAAGGAAGGAAGGAAGGAAGGAAGGAAGAAGGAAGGAAGGAAGGAAGGAAGGAAGGAAGGAAGGAAGGAAGGAAGGAAGGAAGGAAGGAAGGAAGGAAGGAAGGAAGGAAGGAAGGAAAGAAAGAGAGAGAGAAAGAAATAAATTACCTGGGTATGGTGGCACGTGCCTGTAATTCCAGCTACTTGGGAGGCTGAGGCAGGAGAATCGCTTGAACCCAAAAGGCAGAGGTTGCAGTGAGCCGAGATTGTGCCTCTGCATTCCAGCCTGGTGACAGAGCAAGACTCTGTCTCAAAACAAAACAAAACAAAACAAAAATCAAACACATTCTTAGGTTTCTCTGCTGGTGGGGATCATGTATAAAACAAAGCCCAAGAATCTACATTTATTTATTTATTTTTTTAAGTTTTTTTGCTTTTTTTGAGATGGATTCCCACTCTGTCGCCC